TTGCTATCTTTCAAAAATCATCTATTGTGTAATTTTTATGTATTGTTCATCTTAGTTATTTTCTTATTAGTATTGAGTAGTCCATTATTCCAACTCATGTAATTACTAATAGAAATAAGCTTCATACTTTGAACAATTAATCGAAATCCTCTTGTTATTTTTAACTTATATCATCAATATCTTATAATTCCTTTAGTTACTATTGTTATATTGTTGAAATTATTTCTTGAAGATCACCTTCAACATCCTCTGTCTAGTTTTCGTTGGAATTTTCCTTTTCTAATAATATTTTATTAGTACATCATCTAAAATCATTTCATGTTATTCAACCTTTTACTATAAATCAATTATGACTTATAATGCCCCATACAGTTACTCTTCATAGTAAGGAATAGAATCAAGGGTAAGTTAATCCACAATTTCTTAATCCATAATAATTTTATTTATTTTAGTATATCAAATATTCATCAGTATCTTCATCTATTGACCTATTGAGAAAGAAAAATATTAATTGTATTAATGAGGGATCTTTATTTTCTTTTGTTAAATAATTCATTTTGATAACTTATATGTTATACCTTAGTTTTAATAAATCTTTGATTGATTAAGTAAAATAAGATATAAATAAGTAAAAATAATACTATTTATGTTTTAGAATTTGAGTAATAGAGATTAAATTTAGTAGTCTATTAAAATACTTAGATATATAATAGAATAAATAATAGTTTAAATTAAATTTCTAATCAATAATTAGAATTAATATTTTATTTTACTAAATACTCAGGCTTTACTTTTTATTTAGGATTAGATCTTAACTATGCTGTTGGAGAACTTACATTCTATATTTTTATTTGAGGGATTTTCATATTTGATAATTTTTATAAAACTTCTGGATTGACTTGAAATGGAACTGATACTTCAATTTTTTATGGTTATTATTATTGGATTAATTGAGATTATTGAGTTTAAATCAATTACTGAGGTTTATTTTAAGGAATATATTCCTATTATTTACTCTAAGGAATATACTCCTATTGTTTACTTTATAGTATATATTCCTATTATTTACTCTAAGATATGTATTCTTATTGTTTAATGTATTCTTATTGCCTATTCTAAGGAATATATTCCTATTGCTTACTTTAAGGAATATATTCTTACAACTTTGGCAATTCTGGGGATTCATTTTATTTAATTTTTTGAGTGAGCATATCAATTTTAGGCATATACTTTTATTTTACTTTTGATATTTCTTCTTCCATTTGTGATTACAAAAATGCCAAAAACTTCTTTCTCTCATCTTAATTCATATTTTCCATTTATTACTCATCACTTAATTATTCGTCAATTATTTCATTAATAATTTTTTCTTTTTTAGCATAAGTAACAAAATCTAATTCCTTTTCACTTTTACTCTTACTTTAAGCTTCTTCTTCTTTAATCACAAGTGTTCCACATTCCACAACAGTTCCACATGATTATTCTTCATCTTAACTATCTTCTTATTTAGAGATTAAGGTTTAAATTTTTTCTACATTTCCTTATGTTTTTGATTATCTATACTCATCAATTTAGTTGAGAAAGTTGTCAATGAGATTTACTAATTTCTTTTAGTCTTGTTTGCCTTATTTAATAAATGGAGACTAAAGTAATTATTAAGCAGTAGGTCTTTCTGAGACTTATACTTTTAAGCAAGATTTTACAAAATCGTTAAATTCCTTAGACCACTTTTCAGGATTGGTTAAACCCTAAGGTGGGTTGTTTTTAATTGCAAACATTGCTCTTACAGGATGAATGTGAGAATATGGAGGCTTTCCTTCTGCAAGTTCAATTGCAGTCACTCCTAAAGACCAAATATCCGTTAGATGGTTATATCGATTCTTAGATATAACTTCAGGAGACATGTAAACAGGGGTGCCTATTACTGTACCCTTTTTATTAGAATAAAAATACTTTATCTGCATTTGTATAGATGAGTTGTGCAGCTACTCCAAAATCTGCTATTTTAATTGTTCCTTTCTCATCCAATAAAATATTTCCAGCTTTGATATCTCTATGAATTTTTTTATTTGCATGCAAATATTCAATTCCAAGTAGAACATGATATAGAATAGCAGCAATTTCTGATTCAGTTAATGTTTTTTAGGTGATTTTCAATAAATCAATAATTGACCCTCCTACACAATATTCCATAACAAGCCATAAATTTCCATCTTTATAAAAGGAACCATAATATTATACTATATGGGCATGTTAACATTCCTAAATACATAAATGATAATACTTTTAAGATCTAGATCTCCTTAATTAATGATTGTATTTCACCAGTAGAAGGAACTATTTTTATAGCTACAATTTAGCCATTCTTATGTTTTCCCTTATAAACTTTTGCATAAGCACCTTCTCCAATCAATTCATTAAGCTCAAATTATTCTTCTGGGTCTTAATTAGAATACATACAAAATTTTAATATTCATGATTATTTTATATTTTTAAGGAATGGTTCAATTTTCTATTATTACAAACTCTATTTTAAAAACTGAGTATCTCAAATAACTTAGATTTTGTCAATATTAGTGTAAAAATCCATCATTATTATTCAATGATATAACAGTATAAGATTTAATCTGAAACATAATTAATTGTATCTTTACAAGAATATTCTAATTTTTTATGGTTTAGCTTATTTATTAAATTTAATATTTGCTATTCTCTAGAGCTAAGTAATCAAACATATATATTTAAAAGAAATAACTAATTCAATCAAATTTAAAATCTATTATTTTTATGATTAGGTTTTATGATTATACACCTTTGTTGAGTAAATTTTAGAATATAATATTATGATTTGATGATAAATATATTTAGAAAATATATAAATTATTAAGTTATTTATAAAATATTCTAATACAATGAACGTTTAATAGGTTCCAATAACAAAACCTCCTTCTCGTTCACCTATGCAAACATACAACATAGCCAAAATAATAAAAACAGAACCATCACAATCTGATAGATAATTTTCAGCTGGTCATAGAATTGAACGATCTATGCTTTCACCAAGTTTTCTTGATGAAGGGTCAGTTTTAGTTCAAAAATTACCACCTAATAAATTAGTAATAAATGTAAATATCAAGGTAAAAGCTTCAGGTAAATATCCAGAATTTTGTATTCGAGATCAAGATACAGGCAAAGTTATTGATATTCGTTATTAAGATTGGAGAAATAATTGGTTTTTTTATTTTTATATAATAGGAATACAAAGAGTCCAAATAATGCAAAATTGATAAAAGCAGTGAAAAATAATTGCTATAATGAGGTTAGAGAAATACTTTTAAAAGACAAACCTGACATAAATGCAAGAGATGTAGAAGGAAATACAGTATTACATTTAAGTGTGATGAGTGGAAGCTCTAAATTAGTAGGATTACTATTATATCATGAAGCTCAAATAGATTCATTAAATTCAAAATTATAAACTCCTTTAATGATTGCTTGTAGTTTAGGAGCTGAAGATATAACTTAATAATTAATTACAGCTGGAGCTGATATTAATTCTTAAGATATTAACAAAAACACTTGTCTACATTTAGCAACTATGAATGAAAGATAAAAAATTATAGATTTATTACTAAATAAATAAAGTTTGAATCTAAATTTAAAGTATATTGAATTATTTTTATCTTAGAAATAAAGAAAACAAAATTGCTATGGATTACTCATCCAATTAATAGATATTTCTATAAGCTATGCAAAAATAAAATAATAATTCAATTAAAATTTATGATGCAAGAACTGACTTTGGAAGTGAAAATTCTAATTCATTTAATGAAGATAAAGTAGGTCCCCATCATTTTAAAGTACATGCTCTTATAGGGAGAGGTAGTTTTGGGGAAGTTTATTTAGTAGAAAAACTTGACACAAATTAATTATTAGCTATGAAAGTACTTCATAAATCAAAAATATAAAGTATTAATAATATTTTTATAATTGCAAGAGCAAAATCTAACTAGATATGCATTAACTGAAAGAAATGTTTTATCATTAACTAAACATCCATTTATTGTACGGTTAAGATATGCATTCCAGACTTCTGATAAACTCTGTCTAATAATGGATTATTGTCCAGGAGGAGATTTAAGTTCTCATTTGAGAAGAGAATAAAGATTTCCAGAAGAAAGAGTAAAATTGTATCTAACTTAAATGATTCTTGCTTTGGAAGATTTACATAAAAGAGATATTATTTTTAGAGATTTGAAACCTGACAATATTGTTTTGGATGCAGATGGTTTTGCTATGTTAACGGATTTCGGATTATCTAAGGAGGGAGTTTAAGAGCATTATTCTGGTGCAAGATCATTTTGTGGATCTGTAGCTTATTTAGCACCTGAGATGCTCAAAAGATGTGGTCATGGAAAGGCTGTAGATTGGTATTTATTAGGAGTTGTTATGTATGAACTTTTAGTTGGACAACCACCTTATTATGCTAATGATAGAGAAGAACTTTTTAATAACATTTAAAAAGCTGATCTTAAATTACCATCATACATATCAAATGATGGGATTAATCTTTTAAAAGCAGTAAAATTATTAATCTATATACACTTTTAGTTATTATAAAGAAATCCAGCAAAAAGATTAGGTTCTGGTAAAGGAGATGCAGAAGAAATAAAAGCTCATCCTTATTTTAATGATATTGATTGGAATCAAGTTAAAGATAAATAAATAAAAATGCCTATTTTGAGTAGAAAAACAAGATTTATTAAGGTGGAACATAATGTTTTTGAAATCGGTAGCTTTTTAGAGCAATCTCATTTGGCTGGCTGGTCATTTGCAGAACATAAAATTTAATAGTGATTTTCGTTTATACTTAATAATAATAATTTAAAATTCATTATTCTTTTCAAACTTATTTAATTTATATATTTATTAAAATTAATTATTTCCCTCTAAATTTATAATAATGGGTTAATTTATTTGATTAATTTGATAAAAAAAACATGGGAAAAAATTAGCGGGAATCAATAAAAACAAGGTTGAGATATAATGAACCTGGTTCTGATAATAAAAGAATTAATTATTTTAAACTAAACTAAGGATATGATATTACAGAAGATGATTCAGAATATGTAGATAATCAAGACTCATAAAAGGCAATTAAAAAAATAAGGAAATACAAAACTAATTCAAAAAAATCAAAAATGTAAATTGCTTTAGTTAATTAGAACATGTGACAATTTAGAAGTATTATTATAATGGAAAAAATCAATTAAGTGTTAATCATATGAAACAGATCAAAGAAGGTAACTATTAAAAGTATTATTTAAGAATTATTGTCTTGAAAAAGATTTTAGGTGCAGATCTTTCCCAAAATGCAAAAGGAGTTTAAGGAATTTTCATTAATAATCTTTTTAGAAAAGATTTAGTATTTATACTTAATATTCAAAGAAAAATTTAGATCTTTCCAAAAAGGTAATATCTAATGGAATTTTATTTATTTGGTCTGATAAAGGTCTTATTAATGAAATTCTTGAAATTATGGAGAATAAAGGATTTACATATATTGAAAATCTAGTTGTAGTTTAATTAAGTCTTGAGAAAGCTTTAGAAGAATTGAATAAATATATGAAAATTGAATAGACTGAAGAAGCTGTCTTAGATAACCTTAATTTTTTATAACAAAAAGTTTAAGTTAAAGATTTGATCTTATATTGTCCACAAAAAGTCTTAAATCAATCCAAATAAGTTTTAATAATGTTTAGAAAATTTGATGAATTAAAAACATAACTAGAATTAAGACATTAAAGAACTCCTGATGTCTTATTTGATTTAGTTAACGATGGAAAATAATCTTAAAAATCAAAAGAGTATATTTATTAAACAATTGAGACATTGCTTCCAAAGTCTTAATTAATGGAAATATTTGCTCAAAAAGATCAACCTAGAAAAGGGTGGATAAGTATTTGTGAAAATAAATGATAAATATTTAATTTCATTATAATAATTGTATCAATTTTATATTAAATTTAAAAAATGCTATTTATATACTTTTAACTTTAATTTCCAGATTCTATCAATGAATCCCTATTTAAAAATTTATTTTATTATTAATTCTACTAAATATCTTGTATAAAAAAATATGAAAATATTCAATTAATAATATAAAATTAATAATCGAAATATTATTTTATTTCTACTACTATGAAACATTTCCCTTATGTTATGATTTTTTACGCAATATATCTTTGATATATTTTAATATTTGTATAAATGAAAAAAAATTGTATTTGTTTTTTCATATATAAATAATCCTTCCTTTTATTTAATAGTTCCATAATAGAATAAATTTTTTTGATAATCACGAACGCCCTTTATCAATAATTTTTTGATATTCATTTAAAATCTAATCTCTAAATCAAATAGACCTATTTGATAATTTAAAAATTTCATTATTCTAAAATACTATATTTGTTATAAAATGTAGTCTAATATAGTTAAGAATTTCATTCTCTAATTTTTTAATTGGTTTAATTTATTTAGTGCAATATCGAAATGGGAACCCAAAAGATTTATTTAAATATTAGAATATTTTATTAATAGTAATCAAGAAGCATTCTTTTCTTTAAAATAAAATTTTCCTTGGTTTTGGCTTTCACAAAAGCATAAAAATCCTTCTGATTCTTTTTATTTTTATTGCCAGCAATTTAAATGATATAGATGTCCACAATCTATCAAAATGATATAATCATTTCTCTAAATACTACAACAATCGGCTTCAACAGAAAAGGAATAATTTTATTGTTTCTTTTGGTTTGCTTTATGATAATCATTGTAATAGGCTTCAATTGTGGTTTTGGATTCTGGTATACCCATAAATGATTTTTAAAGAATTTATTAATTTATTTTTGAATAATAAGTATTCATTCATTTTCATTCAGAATTAGGATGCACAATATCAGTAGGATCTTAATAAAATCCAGATAAATCAAACAAAGGAAATTTATAGAACTATTTAAACTAATGAATTGAAAAATCTTATATTATTTAAGACTATTGAACTATCAATTATGATATATAATTACTTTGTAAAAGAAAATCAGGTACAATTTATTTATCAAAATAAATTGTTATTTCTTGTTTAAATTGAGTTGATTATATTTTTTCAAATTTAGAAAAGTGTTCATCATCTTTCATCATTTCTTAAATTTCCTGGTACAATGAGTCTTTCTTCTCAAGCATTTATTTATAATATTTAGATCCTTGTTGCAAAGTTTCACTTTCCAAAGTCAATTGTAAAAACACGAAAAGTTTATTATCTAACTATGATTTATTATTCTCCAAATATTTTAAGAATTATCTAAAATTTTGATAAATTAAACTTTGTAATGTAAGTATTGTTCTAAGCTATAAACTTTATAGATTTGATTTAGGATGGAAGGCTTTTCAATTTTTCCACTTTTTGATAGGCACATTATTCAATTTTTTTATCGTAATCTAATAGTAGTTTTACTTCTTTCCATTTCATAATTTAGTTGTGCAATGAATATAACCTTCAAATTCATTATGATTTTTACCTACCATCCATCAAAATCAGTTCTACTTTAAGCTTTAATTTAATAAATTTTTTAATCACATTTTATTAGAAATGTTAAATTTTTATCTGGTTGTTTTTCAATTTACATTGAATCAAGAGATATACAACTCTATTTTGTTTTATTTTTTTCGTGCTTCTCTTATTTTTCATAAATTAAGGTGTCTTTTTATAATTTAAAGAGTCTCTCTCTAAATTACCCAGTTTTTCCTTTTTTCAATAGTGTCCCTTATCTAAATGAATGATCTTTAGAATCTTCAATAATATTAAATGATATCTACTTATATTAATATGATTCCAAATTTTTTAATGGTAGGATTGAGTTTCTAACAATTTTGAAAGCTTGATTTCTTAATAAATTATATAAAGTTCTAAGTTTTGTGGAGCATTTTGTAAAATTTTTGCTATTTGCTCTTACTTATTGATAATTCTTTATGAAATGCATTTTTTATCTTTCTAACAAGTAAAAAGAAGAAGTACTTTTCTCACCTAAAGATATAATAATTATAACATCATCTCCAAGTTGATTTTAAATATCAATCTAATCTAAAATTTTTTGGCATTAAGTATTATCTTCAATATTTAAGTTTTAGAAATAATTTTAACATTGTTCATCTTTATATATCTAAATTTTAACTTTACAGATACTTTTATCTTCTATTATTTTTATTATTGTTTGGTGGATGATGTAAATATACTCAGAAAGTTCATTCTATTCTATATTGGCAAATATTTTGTTTTAATTATTTAACAAAATTATTTTAATGGATTAAATTGAAATTCAAATAAAGGAAATGGATGCTTTATATTTTGATAAAGAATATGCAAGTTATCATCCTTCAAATAATGAAATATTATAAAAGGACATTCATGAATATTAACATTTTAAAAATGTAATTGCATGTTTTTATAATTATACAAATGATATGAAAGTGGAAATTTAAAGAATAAAAACTCATTTTGAGACTCTTAAGCCTGAACAAAGAAAAAATCTATAAATGAATTATTAAGAAAGAATTAAAAAATTAGATTATTGTATTAAGAAAAATGCACATTTTTGTTTCTTAATAGTTGCAGCCTATGTTGATATGTTTCCAGAAATGGATTTAAGTTAAGTTAATTATGTATCAGATTTACCATATTTTCCTCATGTTTAACATGGTGATATTGCTAAACTTAGGATAACTTTAAAATAATTTTATCGAGGTATAATTAAATAAATAATACAAGATTGGAGCATTTAAGGTTAAGCAGAAAGAGATTAATCTTATAAACTAATTATTGATCAATTATAATAGTATTATCCAGATGCAAGAAATAAAAATGTTAAATATTAAGTGTTATTACCTGGAGCTGGTTTAGGAAGACTTGTATTCGAATTGGCAAGTAGAGGTTTTGCAGCATAAGGAAATGAATTCTCATATTTTATGCTTCTAAGTTCTCATTTCATCATTAATCTCACTTAAAAAAAAGAATAATATTAATTATATCCTTTTGCAAACAATTTTTGCAATAGATTAAGGTAATATAACATTTATTTTAGTGAAAATGACTAATTTGAATTAGTAAAAGTACCTGATATAGCCCCGGCTGAAATTTTAACTGAAAATGATGAAATGTCATTTGTAGCAGGAGAATTTATTACAGTCTATCATCAAAATAAATATTTTAATTTTTGGGATAGTATTATAACATGTTTCTTTATTGATACAGCAAATAATGTATTAGATTATATAGATACCATTTATGAAATTTTAAAGCCTAAAGGATGTTGGATAAATTTTGGACCTTTAGAATATCATTTTGCTAACTAATTCTCTGAAACAAGCATTGAATTAAGTTATGATGATTTAAAACATTATATAAAATAAAAAGGATTTGAGATATAATTTGAGTAAATGTAAGAATCAACTTATAATCATTCAAAATTGGATTAAAAATACTTAATGTATAATTGTATATTTTTTATGGTTGTTAAGAAGTGAATATTAATTGATTTTTAAGATTTTAATTTTCTTATTAAATATGATATTTAAGAATTTAAAGTAAAATCAGAATTTGTAATATAAATTAATAAATAATTATATTAATTCCACATGGCCAGCAAGAAGAAGCAACTTTTTAAAATTATCATCTTAGGTGATTCAGGGTAAATTTAAATCTTAATTTAACTTTTAGAGTAGGTAAAACTTCTTTGATGAATTAATATGTTAATGCTAGGTTTACATAATAATATAGAGCAACAGTAGGAGCAGATTTTATGGCAAAAGAAGTTATGATTGATGATAGAATGGTAACACTTTAAGTATATTGATAATATAAATATTTATTAGATTTGGGATACAGCAGGTTAAGAGAGATTCCAATCATTAGGTGGTGCATTTTATAGAGGAGCTGATTGTTGTGTATTAGTTTACGATATTACAAATCCAAAATCATTTGATTCTTTGGATTCTTGGAGAGATGAATTTTTAATGTAAGGTTAACCAAAAGATCCAGAACATTTTCCTTTTGTCGTTTTAGGAAATAAATTGGATAAAGCAACAGAAAGAAAAGTTTAAGAATCTAAAAGTTAATAATGGTGTAAATCACATGGAAATATATAATTCTTTGAAGTATCAGCTAAAGATGCAACTAATATAGAATAAGCTTTTTAAGACATAGCTAAAGCAGCTGCAAGTTAAGAAAAAGATGAAGAAATGTATGTTTATCAATCTATTTTAGATTTTTCCCTACAACTGTGACACTAACTAAATAAGACCCCAAGAAATAAGCAAAATAAGGAGGATGCTGTTGATTCTATGAAATTTTTAAACACATTTCATAATAATAATTAAATATTACAATCAATTTCATCATATTTTATGTATTTAATAATATTAAAGCATTTTTGACTTTGTTTTAGAAGAGATTTAAATCTAGAAACAGAAAATTATTAGACAAATTTATTTATCTAAAAATAACATCATCATATTTTCTCTAAAACTTTCACCATTAATTATCCTAATTTCTAAAATTCAATCCTACTAATCTTTTTATCATTATTTTTATCTAGGTATCGAACAATATAATTAATCTCATTTTAAGTTGGTGGCTATTTTATGAAAAATTATTACTTAAGATTTAATTTCTTTTGCAAGGTTATTCAATAGGAAAGTTAATTCATCAATTTCAATAAATCCTGATTTATCTTTGTCATATTTATCAAATACTCTATTAGAAAATTCAATAATCTACAAAGAATTCATCTTTTTAGTTCAAGTGATAATTATATGTATATTATAAAAAATATTTAATAAAGTATGAAGGTTTGATATAATTTATTTAATTTTCGAACAAAATTACAATAATCTATTTCAATTGCTCAAATAATTAAGTTTTATTTATAAAGAGCAATTAATTGATACTATATACTTGTAAAATCAATCATTATAATTTAATTTTTGGAAATAATTATCCATAAGATGGTAGAATTAATACCTTATGATGCATGACATAATATAGTGAAGTTTAAAAAATAAAATAATTATTATTTATTTTTCTATCACAAAATGTTAGAAGATGAGAAAACTTTTATGAATATAATTAATAATCCAGATTAGTTGGATGAGGAGAAAATTGTTGATCTAGTGTTTAAACTTTGCAATAAAAAAAATATACAATTCGAATATGATGGATTGACCTATTGTCAACTATCAGGAAAAAATATAGGAAATTAAAGCACTATTAAATTAGATATAAAATCAGGAGGTTCTATAACTGTCTTAAAAGATTAATTAAAAGAATTGATCCGATAGCATTGTTTTATAAATGGAATATTTGAACAGTCTTTTTCAAAGATATATAAAATTTATATATTGAATCCCTCAAAAGATTTAGTTAATCATAAAAATGAAGAATTCTCATCGATAGAAATAACAGATTCTATCTTATAACAGGTGTATGGCAAAGAAGAATATTAGTAAATTATGGCAAAGTATAAGAATTAATAAAATTTAGAATTGATGAACGAAGCAAATTAATAAATCAAAATATGGATATTGATGTTACTTTTATCTGTCCAATAATGAAAAAAACATACTTAAAATTCTCAGAAGGAATAAATCTTCAAGGTCAATTATATAGTTTAGAAGGAGCCATTTTAATTTTAAAAAATAATCCAGAGAAGCTTTTCTCTCATTAAAAAGAATATCTAGAAAAAATATAGTGCCTAAAGGAATAATAAAAGTTAAATAACAATTAAATTAAAATTGATTCTATAATTTTCTAATGTCCAATAACTAAAAACCAGTATTACACTTGTTTAGAAGGGATAAAATTTGAAGAAAATCTCTATAGCATTGAAGGGTTATAATAAAAATTAGAGTAGGATAATAATTAATAAACAAAAGATAAAAATTAGAATGAAATCAATTATTTAGATAAATTTAAGAAAGGGCAAAATAAATGAACTTATAGTATTCATAGCATGATTGATCATTTAGATTTATTCTTTTTGATATAGATCATTAATTAGTAATAAAAAATTAATTAAAGATTTTAATAAAATTTAAAATAATATGTAAATTTTTGTTAAAACCCTGACGGGAAAGACTATTACTCTTGATGTAGAGCCTTCAGACACTATTGATGCTGTCAAGGCTAAGATTTAGGATAAGGAAGGAATTCCACCTGATCAATAAAGATTGATTTTTGCAGGAAAACAACTTGAAGATGGAAGAACTCTTTCAGATTATAATATTTAAAAAGAATCAACTCTTCATTTAGTATTGAGATTAAGAGGTGGTGGTATGGAGCCAACAATTGCTGCTATAGCCAAAAAATACAACGTTGAAAAAAAAATTTGCAGAGTTTGCTATGCTAGGTAAATAATTTTAAATTATTATTATTAGATTACCACCTAAAGCTCATAATTGTAGAAAAAGAAAGTGTGGACATTCAAATTAATTGAGAATTAAGAAGAAGCCTAAGGATTGAAATCATGATTATTATGAATAAGTACAATAATACAATAAATCTAATTATGTTCTTGATTTAATTTAAAAAATTAAGGTGAAATAACTTTTCTAAGAAGGCTATGTCAAGTTATTCAAGAACCTTATTTAATTTTATGAATAATTTATTATTTCTTCTTTCTATAAAACTGCTGATTAAATTCACTATTTCTTACTACGAGAATGGAATAAAGGAAAAAAGGAATTGTTTTTCTTTAATTAAGATTTTCAACATTCTCTTATTATATGTAACAAAATTTAGAATATAAAAGTATTTGAACTCCACTAAACTTTGTGTTTGCAATAATTGTAAAAACAGAAATAATCCTAGATAACTGTAATATTGAATTAATCCAAATCGAATTTCTTTTTTTAATATGTTATTCCTTATAAGATGAGAAGTTGAAAGTTTCTATGTTAAATTGAAATAGATTAAATTTTTCTAAGTGAAAAAAATTTCTTGTCAAGATCTTAAATGTTAGGGATGAAAATTATGAAATTAGTGTATATCTGTGAATTAAATACTGGAAATGTAGAGCATCTTCTTTAAAACAGCAATCTCTTAAGTATAGAGAGATTTTATTTCTTAAATGGCATTTTTGAAAAGTGTTTGTAGAATTTATTTCAATATCATTTTTAATGTAAATATTTCTGTGTTTATGGATGAAAGCATTATGAAAGAACTTCTTTAAATTCAATAAATTGAATAAGGAGCTGAATTGCATTTTTTATTTTAGTTGAATAAAATGAGAGAAAGATAATTTTAATTAATAGTTTGAAAATATATAAGAAGCCATCAAATATCAGAGACATTTAAATAGATATTAAGAGATTTCATTTCCTATTAGATGAGATCAGTTAAAATTCCTCTTTGTAATCATTCCCTTTGTATATTTAATTTAATGAGAGATTTTCAATTAATAAATTTATTAGAAACCTAACAAATAAGTAACTTTATAATATATATCTTAAGTTTTATAAAAGGATATTATTATTTAAGTGGAATCGTAATAAAACTAGGAAAATAAAAAAGCATTCAATCTCATCAAGGATAACGTTATTAACATTCTAATTGTTCATTAATAATAGGTTTTGAGAAATTTTAAGGATTTATTTGAAAAAGAAGTGACAAGTGCCAAAATAAATCTAACTCAGGATTTTTATCATATCTTTGTAACTAATAAGATCAAGTCTAAATATTTTGTTATAAACATTGTAGAATAATATTAGAGTGCATAGGTCGATTAATATCTAACAAATAAATAGATCTAGAATTTTAAGTAAGAATAATGTAATTATTGAGTTGTACTATATATAAAAAAATATTGGTTAAGTTTAGCTGTAAAAATTGAATTATATAATATTAATCTTAGATTTAGTTATAAAGATAGGTTTGCAAAATGTCTTAATTATTTACTCGAAAAATTCAAGTAAAAATATCAAGAATCAATATCAAAAATTGATAGAATATTTCTTAATAGATTGAATAAAATAATTTTAAATATAGATTAAAAGCAGACATAAAAGCAATTATTAAAAGCTTATTTGATTATTAAATATTTTATTGATCAAAATTTGAATTAATTGTATTTAAAATTTGTTGAATAATTATGTAACTTTATTTGGAAATTGGAATATACAAAATTTACAATTTAAAAATATGATTTATATAACAATGAACTAGTAGGACTTATATATATGTCATTGAGAGTAATTAATTTAATTATAAATAGAAAATATTGATTAAAATTATGAATGGCTAGGCATTTTAATATTAAAAAGATAAATAATATATATTATAATTTATAAATAATATAACAGAATTGATCATTTAATACTGATTAGGAGAACTATTTGTGATTTAGTAATAACAACTATTATTATTATATTATTATTTATAATTTGAACATCAGCATCTTAATTTAAAATAAAATTCAATTTTTAATGATATTTTGTTATAGAATAAAAGGAAAAATAGGAAAGAGTAAAATTAAAAATTTATATATTATAATAAAAATAACTAAGAATATCTATGTAATTATTAAGAATTTTATTTTCTTCAAAGAAAATGAGAAATTAATTTTATTTGTTTAAAACAACATTTTTTCTAAATAGATTTGGTTTTTATTTTGATAAAATCATTTATTTTTTATTTATAATATCTAATTTATTTATAATTACTACCATAAGTTCTTAATTTTACTTTAATTTTTATATTATTAGATTTTTTTAAAGAAAAAATGATTAAAATTTTTACCTAAGAACTTTATATTAAAAAAATTCAAATTTTAACAATATAATTAATTTAATGTCTATAGCTAGAACAAGTTAGAGTTCAAAACATCAAATGAAGAGTGAGAGTCAATTTCAATAACAAATAAAATCTTTAATCTAGAATGTAAATAATCCACCTTAAAATTTAACATAATAATGGATAAGAGAAAAAGAGAATGAATAAAAATAATTGTTTGAAGAAGTAAAATAAAGTGAATTTGGAGGAAGAACTTCAACTCTAACATAATTAACATAACTTGCAAAAAAAATTGAAAAAATGAAGAAAAATATAAATAATGTTGCAGATGATCGAATTAAAACTCCAGCTTCTGATAAAAAGAGTAGAAAATCAGCTAAATCAGGGAAATCAGTAAATTGTTAAAGTAGAAGGACTTTAAGCAAATAAACTTAATCAAGAGTGCAAATGAAAAGTTTGGAATAAAGTAGAAGTAAATCATCAAAAAAGAGTGCAAAAGAGTTGAAGATATCAAAAATACAAAATACTACAAAAAATTCATTTGATAATAAATTAGGTGGGTTTTAAAAATTAATGAAAAAATAAAAAGAAGATTTAAGATAAAATGTTAGAATAACAGAATCAAAAGCATCTAAAAATAATGTTGATCGTAGTTTAAGGTAAAATTTATAATTATTATGAAGTCCATCTAGACCATCAATAAATTCATCAAAAAGAATAAAAAATAATAGAAAAGCAGTTACATCATATTATGATGATGGAAGTTCAATTACAGAATCTAGTGATTAAGAGGATATGATTAATCTTAAAATTAATCCAAAAACAACTTTATCTAAATATGAAACTTTAGTTGATAGTGAAAGAAAAGGTCAAGATATTGAAATATGTTAGTTAAGTAGAGAGGAAAATCTTATGCTTACTACAAGATTAGAATCAATCTCAAAAGAGAAGCTATTAAGAGAATATCGTGTTTTATATTATAGAAGTAAAGAAGTAAGAAAACTATTAACTGAATATTATGAATAGAATTTAACAATTAGTGATGAATTAAATGAAATAAAATAATTATTATGTCAAAAATAAACTGAAATTAAATAGTTAAAAAAGGAATTAAAGTCCTAAACAAAAGAATTCAAATTAATGCAAGTTGAATATGGTAATAAATTAGAATCGCTTGAAAAATCATATTAATAAAAAGAAAAGAATTCTGTTCCTATATATGATTATGATAGAATTTAAGAAGAAAATGAAAAACTCTTAGTAGAAAATGAATTATTGAAGGATGATTATAAAGATATTTAGTAGAAATTACAATAACTTGAAAATGATATTTATTAAAAGAGATAATTTGAACTCCCTGAACAAGATATATCTTAAAGATTATAAAGAGAAGTCGATTCTCTAAAAGATTAAATAGAAAAAATAAGAGAAGAAAATATAAAACTTAAATTACAATTAGACAAAGAAATGTTAAATAACAGAGAATTATCTTAATAAATCAATTTCAAGATAAATGAGATAGATGGAACTGTTGAATTGAAATAATAAGAATTAGTATAAACAAAAATACATTTGTAATCTGCAAATTAAACAATCTAAAAATTAGAATAATAAATAAATCAGATGAAATACTAAATAATTGGAGATCAAGAGTAATCTTTTTAGGTATTAGAAAAAATATAGAGATAAGAAGAAGAATTGAGAATTGCTAATTTAAAAGTTGAGAACAGAGAAAAAGAGCTAAATGAATATAAATAAAAAGAATTGAGTCTAAAAAAGAAAATTGTAGAATTAGAATAAAAAGTTGATAATTAATCTTCGATATCTTAAACTTTTTATGATCCTAATTTTTCTATTAATAAATTAAATAATGCAGAATCTTGTATTAATTTTATTTAATTTTAGATTAAAACTAAGAATTCTAAGCAGAAAGATAATTTTTGATAAAGACTTAAGAACAATTACTGAATATTCAAGTTGAAAATGAATAATTAAAGCACAATTTAAAATAATTAGAATTAGAGTTATCTTTTGAAAAATAAACAAATGAATAAATTAAGATGAGATTAGCTTAATTATAAGATGAGAAAGATATTTCTATTTAAAGAGTTTAAAAACAATATGATGAAATCGAAAATAATAGATAAAAAGAAATACTTATAGCTGAATAATCATAAAAAAATTAAGAAAATATGTTATATAGTGCTTAATAAAGAATAAATGAATTAGAAAGTGAATTAAGAATTTTAAATAAATAAGAATAAGAAATGAAAAATTAAATTAATGATTAAAGAATACAAATTGAAAGACAGAAATTAAAAATTGAATAAAATGAAATAAAATTAACTAAATTTTATGATTAAATTAATGAAGTTGAATCTGAAAATTTGCATTTGAATGAAACCAATAAATAACTAAGAATCTAAATTTAACAATTAAATAGGGAAGTTGATTAAATTGATAGAATAAAAGATAATTATAAAACTAAATATTTAAGTAATAGACAAGATAGCAAAAAATTAATGAATAAAAATCCAGAAGTATTTATTAACTAATAATTAGAAAGAAAATGTGATCAAATAAACATATACAAATGAAGTAGAGAGAATAAAAAATGAGAAAGAGTAGTTAGAAAGATTAAAAAGTTAAGAAGATTAATAACGTATGTAGAGAGATAAAAAATGTTAAGTTATCAACGATTTACAATAAATGATTAGAGTCAATAAAAAATCAAATGATAAATGAATTTAATTTTATTTAAAATTATGATTAAAATTTTGAATTAAAACATTTATTTTTTGTGTTAGAACATTTTTTTCAACTTCATAAATAGATAAATAAATGGATTCTTATCTCTCTATATTTTTATATTGAATTTCTTTTATTTTTAAAATTCATAAGATAAAATTTTATTATTATAATTTAATCATGATAGAGAATTTATTTTTCTCATGTTTTGTTCTATTAGATAGTAAATATTAGTTCAATTAAAGAAGTTGAGATTTATCCAAAGAGATCTTCATTCTCTTAATTAAACTAATATCTTGAATTAAGTAGAAGATTTTATTTAAAAATTTTAATTTAGTTTCTTCTAAAAAACATTAATTAATAACAAATTAAGAATCAGATTTATTAGTAATTATTGAGAATTAGTCTATATAAAAGAACAAAAAGTTTAAATAGCAAATTGATTATGAGTATTTCTACTTTATCTTTTTAACATGAGAAAAGTCATTTCTATATTTAATCAATTTAAATTGTTTATATCTTGATTTAAAGATTAATCATAATAATCTTTGAATAAATATGTACATATTTTTAAATGTTAGTAATTATTAAGATTTTAATTTATTCTACTTATAATTAAGAAAATAAAGAATAATTGTTAATTTAAAATTAATATATAGTTTGTGTAAATAAAAAGTAAAGGATTTCAACTGAGATTTAGGATTTCTTATTCTATTTTTTATATATCACTGATTAATTTTCTTTGATAATCTGATAGGTTTTCTTTGGATGCTGTTTTTAATTTTTTCTTTTATAGTTTTAAATCAATTGATATAACCTTGACTGATTCTTTTGTCTACTTTGGTTGCTTGCTATTTTTGGTATTAAAATGCATTTCATAGTTACTGCCTTGGATCTAAAATACTTGAATAGAATTAATAGGTTCTTCAATCAACCTTTATGTAGAGGCTTCAGTGTATTTGATATTTAGAAGTCTAAAAGGAGAATATTAGACATTAAATGCGTTGTTTTGGATCTTTGTAAGTGCTAACTGTTAACTATTATTACTAATTTACATATAAATTAATTAATAACTATCATTAATGTGCTAATTATTCTAAGTCATCGGCATAATCTAATTCGAAACATTAAAATTGCCTCGAAGACATACATGGTGTATCTCTACATTCAATTAAACTTAAATTATTTATCATTTCTTCCAAAGTCTTTAAAGTTATTGGTTTGATATAAACTCCTTTCATTCCAGCCTAAGATAAATTAATTAGGTCATCTTCTCCAGAAAATCCTGTTAGTCCAAAAACAGGAATATGGATTCTTTATTAATCTTTAAATAAAAACTATAATTATTTAGTTGCTTCTTCTCCATTCATAATTGGCATTTGATAATCCATAATAATAGCTTTAAAGCCTCGACATTTATGTTCATCAAAAAGAGAAATACTGTTTTCAATTAGATGTACACATTATTAACCATTATCAGCTTTAATTGATTAATATCCTAATTATTTAAGCAAAGATTCTAAAACTAATAAATTATATGGTTCATCATCAACTATTACTATTTTTTATTCACATCCACAACCTTAACTTTTATATAAACTACCTTCTAAATTTTTATAAAAACTTGAATTATTGTAATTAGAGAACATTTGTAAACTACCTTTTTTATTCACATTAATTTATGAAGATCTTTTTGTTTTATTGATCATATTAGTTCTACTGCTAATTTCTGGATCTGTCCAAATATTAAATTTAAATGTTTGGCTTTCAATATCTGGTATCTTTCCTTCTAATTCAATTTAAGAACTCTCTTTATTATATAAATCACTAGGCATAAATCCTTCTGTTAATTATGTTATTCTGCATTTAACATGAATACTAACTGTTGTTCCTTAATCCAATATAGAATCTATTGTTATATAATTATCTTCTTCTTTTCCACTAAGATATTTAATTAAGGCATTTGATGCTCTCAATCCTAACATCATCCCTGAAGCTGAATCTCTATCTAAATCTTAAAATGCTTTCTCCTCATTTTTGAGTAAATTCTTAATTGCTTCTAATTTTTATTGATTAATTCCCATTCCACTGTCTCTAATTTCAATTGTATAATATTCATATAAATGAGTATTTGTATGTTAAGGTGGGGCATTAGAAAAGGAACTAGAAGGATTTATCAATTATTATTTAAATATTGTATTTTTCCTTTAAGGAAAATGAAAGGAACTATCATTTAAATCTTAAGAACTTTTATATAATTGAGAACCCTATGAAGGTTATAGAATTTTTTTATCATTCTCTTTATTCTATATTATTTTATCTTTATCCTAATTGTCTTTTGTAATAGTTATTATAATTTATCCACCTTTGTTATTAAATTTTATACTATTTGAAATTATATGAATCAAAATACTTTGAAATTTTTCATAATCCAACATTTCATTCTATGCTTAATTTACTAGTTTTTAAAATGTTATTTTAATGTTTTTCATTTCAGCTTCTTCCTAAAATAGATCTATGGCTTCTTATATTATTGATATCAATTTACATTTCTCTGTTTTTGTAACTAATTTCTTTTCTCTTATTAAATTATAATTTATGATTGAACTGATTATCAAATTCTGAATTCTACAATTATTAAATGCAGCTCTTAAAAGTTTATTAGTTCCTTTATCATAATTAATGCTGTTACATTGAATTACTTACAAGAATCCTTAAATTACATTTAATCTTGTTCTTAATTCATGAGAGATAGAACGAATAACTTAACTTTTAAATTAATTGAGTTTCTTATAATAAGAAGATTTAAAATTAGGAGATACATCATAGAGATTTAAAAGTATAGCATTTTTATTTAAACCATATTATAATTTAGTTTTAATTCTAGTCTCAACTATTATTGGGTATTCATCTTCTGATGTTTAATTATTATATGAACATCTTAATGTATATATACATCCTTAAGTTTCATTTTCTTAATTCTTAATCAAATTTAGAGCTTGATTTAAATTAATTTAATTATGATCAGTACATTCAAATTTAGAATCAAGTCTATGTAAAATATCACAATTCAATTATTCTTTAACTTCAGATTAAGGTAATGTTAAATTATCAAAAAATGATATTATTTCATTAGATGATGAACTTAATATGGATTCTTATGAAGGAAATCCTTAATTTTATAATAGATTAATAGATTTAGTTCCTGAAAGACCTCCATAATTCAATTAATTTATTAATTTTCTAGTAAAATTATTAGTAAATAGAACATCTTGGCAATTTTAATCTAATACACAAACTGCACTTGGAATACTTTTTAAAGTTTGATCAGTAAATTATGAAACTTTGCTCAAATTTATTAATTACTAATCCCAAAAATACAAAATCAAAATTATAAAAAATATGATATTTATTGATTGTAAAGTCTTAAAATGAAAAATAATCCCTCTAGCTAAGAAATACAAATAAAATTTGAGTAATAACATAATTCTTAATTTTATTGTTCTAACTATTCCTAAAACAAGTAATAAATTAATAAACAACTAACAAATAGTTAATATTTTATTCTCCGTATCATTAGATAAATATATTTCAATCAAAAATATTTAAAATGAGGTTTCAATAAGAATGAATGTAAAAATGATAAGTGTTAATTTATAAGACTCTCTTAAGCAGTTAGTAATTCTTTCAACAATAGCTACATACAAAACAATTGCTACAAGTTAAATATATAAATAAAAAGTAGTATAAGACTTATTAAAACTCTAGAAATATAAGGAATTGTAAATAATTATGTATATAAGTCCAATAATAGCATAAAATTTCACCAGAATTATAAAGGTTGGCCATATTTTTTAAAGTATCAATTAGTTATGCTAAACACTATATCTCTCATTTCGATAATCATCAAAAGTTGTTGAAATTAAGTCTTTTAATTTTTTTATATACATATTAAAATTTATTCATTGAAACTTGTAAGCTTATTGCAAGAAATAAAAATTATTGTTTTCAAAATATCATATATTTGAGTAATGGACAATAATTAAGTTACGAAGATATTTTCTTACATAAAGAAGTTTAAAATTTTAATTCTTATATTTTATTATAATGATATTCCTTCAATCATAATAGACTCTTCCAGTCATCATATTATAGAAATCTTCAAATGTTACAAAACCATCATCATTAAGATCAGCCTTTCTAAATATCTTTTTAATTTCCTCATCATTTAAATCATCTCCTAGATCAACTGAGACTCTTTTCAATTCATCCCAAGTAATTCTACCTATAGTCATTCAATATGATAACCTTCACGATTTAAATCAAATAAATTGAAAGTTCTCATCAAAGAACCTCTTGTCTCTTTTAAATTTTATTTAGCTGTAGCTAATTTGATAAAATTGTCAAATGAAAATCCACCTTAATTATCTTAATCGATCTCTCCTAAAACCTAATATATCATTTTATTCTGAGCTCTAAGTCCTAATTCTTCAAAAGCTCCCTTTAATTCAGCTGGATCAATAGTACCACTTCCATCATCATCAAATAGATCAAAGGCTTTCTAAATAAGTAAATTTATTTAATTACTAACCTTTAATTCAATTACTTCATCTCGACTTAAATTTTATCTAACATATAAATCTGGATTAAATTATTTATCTTCTTAAACAGGTTTTTAAGGAGGAGGTGGAGGTGGAGAAGGCTATTAAACGTTCTTCGATTCTTTTTTTGATTATTAACGAGGATTTGATCTCATTTATCAAATTAATATAAATATATATAATAATTACACATATTGAATAATTTTGTTCATTCTTTTTATTTCTAAATATATTAAAATATATACATATTCTCTATCTGTATCAAACTCTTGATTGTTAGCTTACTTTCTTCTCTAAATAATTCTTCTAGGTAACTTTGAAATCTTAATTTTATGATCTGAATTACTGGCATCATAACCTTCTTCACCTCCTTCTCCATTTTATAATTCTTTTTCTTTCTTATTTTTTTAATACTTTTTTGATTTCTTTATATTTACTTACTTTATTTTTATTTTATTCATCCTCTTCACTCTATTAAGGGGTTCTCTCTTCATCACCATCATAACAAATACTAATAATATTAAATAATAAAATTACCTCTTTCTTTCCCGAGCTAAAGTGTCACTTTCAAATTATTCATTAATAATTTAAGTTTGGTTGATCTAATAAGTGATACTTTAAATTTACTTCTTAAATTGTAGAAATTTCAATAATTTCTTAGAGTTAATCAAGCCATTAATTTCTATTCAATTATTTAATATAAGAACAATCTTTTAATTCATTTAAAAAGTTTAAATAGTGTTGATCTAATATTTACTCTGTAAAGTATTGTTTAAAATAATCCTAAGATTTATCAATAAAATTTTATGAATCTTGTTAATCATTTAAACCAAACATAGTTTCATAATTTTTCCTAATTGTACTGACAAATTATTAAGACTATTTAGAAGAGCATATTTTCTGAGCATTAAACAATGCTATTGGACCATATATAATTATATTTGCAAAGTAAGAAATCACATTGCTTAGTAATTATATTGTTTTTACTTTATAAGATATTATTTCTATTGTAAATAAGCCTCTATTATTTAGTTTGATATTGAGTTCTGTTTTAGCATTAACAAATATTAATCTTAAATCATTTAATATATTAAATAATAAATAAATAAATCATAAACCTTTACAAAATCTTCAATCACTACTTGATGATATGTTGATTTATAATAACAATTTAGTCTTCCAAAGTTAAAAACATTCTTGTAATGGAATTTCTTGTTTCCAATCACTTGTTATAAGTTGAAAAGATTTCAATCTTAATTAATTTGAAGTAGGCTAATAAAAAGAAGTCTAAGATTTGCAATCTTTTCTAATCTGGTCAACACTTCTGCTTTCATGAATAAATTAACATCTAGCTCCATAAAAGCAGACCTAAATAAATAATAAGTGTTAATAACATAATCTTAATGGAAAGACCGACATAATTTAGATTTGTATTTCTAATTACACTATCGATTAATCATTTCATTTTAACCATGTGCAAATTAACACTTATTTCCATAATTACATCTACCCAACATACTCCAATTTTTACACATTTCTGTTTTAAATTTTACATAACTTTATGATTCATCACTTGAAGATGTTTATTCTTCAATAGGATCATCATCTTAAACATAAAAATCTGTGCTCATTGTTGTTAATGTAGCTACGGTACTCATAGATCCCCTCTTATCTTATTCATTAAGATCAGTAAAGGAACATCTATTCATATTTTTAATAGTCTTTTCAGCCCATTTTGGTTACTTAGGTGTATAATTATTCATATCAACATTCAGACTACGTCTATATTTTAATGATATTTGATAATGAAAACCTTTCAGAAGTTATTTTTTAATCTTTTGTATGAACTGAGCTTCTTTGTTTGCAAGTTCTGCCTTTATTAGTTACATGCATTAGAAATAAGTTGATATGTATACAGAAAAGAAATAATATATAATAATAATAAATTAATATTAAAATCATTTTTTGTATAACAATATTATCTAAAATATCAGATTTAACTCATTTCTTTTGTAAATATTCATAATAAATAATGAAACATTCATAATTAATAATAAAAAGTATAAACATATTATTCATTTTATTTTTATTTTGAATCTATTTGTTCTATCTTATAATACATTCTTTTTTGTATTTTCTTCTTAAACCATAGTACTTAGAAATGGATTTGAAAATCTTTTTGATTCTGGAATTTTATGTATTTCAATTTTATTGATTGTTTATTATGAATTATGTCTTCCATGTTTTACATCAAATTAAATTGGATCATAAACTCTTTCAGTTTAACAACTCTAATCTGCAGTATGAGGTTGTATTTATGAAATTATTGAACTTTTATTGCTCAAATCACAAAATCTTACTTCTGATCCTCTATATGTAAATGATTTATCTTAATTTTCTTTTTCAACAATAAGTTCTTTAATTTAATTTATTATTAATTTCTACTTTCTCATATTTGATGCTATATATTATTCTACATTTTAGACAATAACTTTAGTTTCCTATTCTTTTTACACATTTTAATATAATGTATTTAAATTTTTATGTAAACCATTATTAATGACAAAATAATTATTCAATTATTATTCTAAATTCTAGATTTCAATTGATATAGATCTTTTTGGTTGTTAAATTTAGATTTATGTCATAGCTTAAGTTAATTATGTTTTTATTGCACATGCTTATTAAGCATATTTTAATGTATTTTCTGTTTCTTCACTAAATTATTTACTTATACATGCAATAAAAAGAGTCATTGAATTACCACTTAGAGATTATTTTAGAATTCTTGTTAATTTAGAATTTCTATATGGAATATGTGATTTACTTTAATTTAACATCATAATACATTAACCCAATGCCAATAGAGATTTATTAATATTTTAACCTTCTTATTAAATCTTTTATGTTCCTCCATTTTTATAATTATAACATCTTTCACTTCCTGCCAAATCTGCTAATATTAATTTACCATCATATTTAATATTTTATTTCTCATCATAATTTACTACTTATATCTATACAATAGCATGTGATCTAGATGAATATTAATTACTAGCAGTTGAAGCCAATTATCTTCGTTTTTATGCTTATTATATCAATTAAACAAGATGATCTTCATCAACTATGCATTATTATGATAAACCTGGAATTTAAGTATCTCCATTCTTATCTTCTTAAACTGATAAATTCTATGAATTTTATTCTAACAAATCTATAATTTATTCATTATATATTTCATAAAAACTAATTTTTATAAATCCATTTTTCTTCAATTGAAAAAGTTCCTTAACTGCTTAATATACTATCCCATAATGATCCTTTTTATTTATAATTTAATTGTACTTATGAGTTCCCAAACATAGTATGAGTTTTACCAGATCCAGTCATTCCATAACATAACACTGTCATATTGAACCCTTCAAATATTTTGCTTATAAATTTCGATAAAGTCTACTTAATATACAATAGTACTCCTTCATAAACTGATTAATTGGAATCATTTTCAGTAAAGATTTTCTAAAAGCTCATTTCTCTATTTGATATTCTAAGCTATTTATTTAAAATTTATAGTTACAATATTTTCATTAACAACTTCAATTGGATTTGTAGAATCTGAATGGGATCGTATACGAACAAAAACCTAAAAAGGTTGGTTGATTTTCATATAAAATTTATTTAACGTATAGATAATATAATATTTATATAAATAAAACTTATTATGCATCTTTTTAAGCAGAAACATATAGGATTACTTTCCTATTGTTTAACTTATAATCTCAAATACAATTACTATCATATATTATAATTAAATATAACTATATAATATATTGAAATTATAGTTAATTCACAAGTTAGAAGTTCAGAATAATTAAGCAATCACTCTATCCTCTTTTTTTTTCATTATTAAATTTGTATTATATTTATGTTTCAGCTAATTTTCATTTTAATAAGTTTCTAATGGTTTTTCCAATAATTCACTTTTATGCTTTTATTAAAGACATTTACAAAATAAATAAAAACGTTCTTTATCACCCAATTTCTATTACAATAAATCTAAATCAGATAATAATAAAAATAAGCAATCAATATGCTTTACAGCCTTTTCAATTTAATCTAATTTTAATGAAGCTGCAAATTAAAAATTCAAACTCTTATCTTTAGCAAGTAATTATTAAATAAATTAATAAATACTTATCTCAATCTTTTATGGATCTACCATTTTTGATATACATTAAACTAAAAATTAACAAAGTAATAATTTCTATATATTATTTTAATAAAATTACTAAATGTTATACAATTGGTTATTTTGCAGTTCTTTAAATATGAGTAAGTATTACATTTAAAGATTCTAAAATTAACCTAAATATTTCATTAAATATATATATATACATATTATAATTTGGATCTAATAATGAAGAGTAATCAATAAAAAATACTTTAAAGAATTCTGGATAATCTAAAAATAGATTTTATTTCATCTTAATTTCTTTATTAATAGCATTCTCTATAATAAAATTGCTTGTATGTCTTTTTACCAAAGAAAATAATGCTTTAATGAGAAGAGGTTAAGCAAAATTAAGATTGTTTACTGTGAATTCTTAATTATCTAGTTTAATCATCTTTTAATTGACTAAAGAAGTGAATCTACCCCATATTTTTTCATTAAAACTTTTTGTTTAAGTCCATTTCTCAAAAAATATATATTCTTCTTTATATTAAACCTCTTCTGGAGATTTTAAGATTCCTAAATTTAAAACTGTATCATTTTAAAAATTCAATTAAATTAAGATGTCAACTATGCTTTTCTTATCATCACATTCTAATAAATAATTAAGTAAAGTTTCAATTCCTTTATTAATTGTTTATGATCTTTTTAGAGTAATTGCTATTAAATTTGTATCAAAACTACTTAACTCTTCAAATTTAGGATTTATTCTTAAATGATAAGAAATCAATAGGCTCAATTTAGGATAATGATTTAAAATCAAATTTATCTCATATTATTATACTTACTCATCAAAACCTAATAAAAGAGAAGAGACTTCCTTTTTAGTTTATAAACCCATCAAAACTATATCTAATGATGAATTAACGAATTAAATGTTTTATGTATTAAATATTAATCTAAGAAGAGGTAATTTGTTTTATGGATTAATTAAATATTACATGAGTTGGAATGGAAATAAGTTAGGATCACTTTTATTTATGAATAAATGAGCTTCATCTTATGTAATTTCCTTTCTAAGATACCATAACAAAACTATTTCTGAATATAATTAATCTGCATTTTGGATCAAAACATAATGTTAAATATTTTGGCAGAGTTTTCCTTATAAAAATTCCTTTTGGATTATTAGTCTAATTTAAAGAGGATCTAAAGTTTGAATTTATGTCAATAATTTATTAGGGAATTATCGATTGGGAATAATAGTTGTATTATTATTCATTTAATAAAATATAAATTATATTTCATATTAACTTGATTTCAAAAACTCTGGGATTGAGCTAGTTTTCATATTTAAATCTTTATATCGATATATTGATATCAAATATTCCTAATAATAATTAATTTTTAGAATAAGTAAAAAGTTAGTAAAACATTAGAATAATTATATAGACTTCACAAAAATGTTCCTTATTAAAATAAATCTATCAACATCCCAATTTCCCTTTTATATTCATATCCATTAGGAAAAGCAGATAACCTAAATGAATTATTATTGAAGTTCCTATCCTAATAAATAAAATGATTCTTCTCTTTCAATTTTTTATTCGGATGATAATGCTTCATATTCTTTAAAGATTGAATCGGGCTTACTAGACTTTTAGTGGGAATTTCAATGTTTGCCTTAATTCTTAATCTCGTTTTTGTATTGTTCATTAAATATAATCAATTTTGTGAGTTTGTTAAGGATTGGCATTTCGTAATACATCAAGAAGAATTATTTTACTTCTTCAAAATGATTGTTTTTCTAAAATAATTATTCATTAATATAAGTAATCAGTTATTATACAATTTATCTTTTAGCATCCTTGCTATGATTTAATAGTTATGTTTTTTTATTGCTGGTAATGTATTGCCTATCCCTGAATTATCTGGATTAAATATTTTGGGTTTATTATTGCCTCTCACAGAAGGAAAAGAGAGTAATCGTACTTAACTTATCTTTTAGACTTAAAGACATTTCTCTTTTCTTTTGGTATCCTCTATCTAGTATATAGGTCTTCGAAGGGAATCTCGGCTGGTCCTCTCTGTTGGAATTGACTTAAAAGTAGACTTACTGAAATATTATATCAGCTTATACACATTTAAGATATCTTTTATCTTGTAATTTGATTGTCCTTAATACGTTAAATATTCTTTTCTTTTTATTCAATAGATCTTGAAGATTGTTTAGAACAATTACTACTTATAGATTACCTAGATGACTATTAAATTAAATCTAAAAATAACCGATCGATAAAAACTAGACTTGATATTGACTATTTTATTAAGTAACTTTTTATTTTAAGATAGAATTTCTTCTTATTTTTTAATTTCTTTCCTTCTTGAATTAAAAAATTTATTCCTTCTACTAGATTCGATGATATTGATATAGTTCTTATCATTACTATTTTTTCTATTATTTATTTCACTAAGTCTTCTCTAATGACATGAATAACTCCTGGAGATCTATTTTATATAATTACCATTCTCTATATTGTATTTGATATTTTGTATTTTTCACAGATAATGATTACATAAAATTAATATTAAATGAATTTTGCAAAATATTCAATGAAAGAAATCAATAAATAATTTTGGTCAAAACAATCTATTACTAATAGTAGTATGTTGGGAGGATATGATTAAATAAATAATGTTGATATTTAACAGTCTGAATTATTTTTACTTAAGAACATTCAATAATTTAATACACTTTTGGAATTAGGTTCAGGAATAGGCAGAATATCTGAATAATTATTTATCAAATACTTTAAGGAAGTAAGATCTTTTTTTGATTATAGATTCATTTAGTTGAAAGAGAAGCCAAATTTCTTAATGAATCTAGGAGAAGACTCAGTAAATTTAATTGTTCATATTATTAAATGTCAGTAGAAGAATTTGAACCTAAAAAAAATTATGATTGTGTCTGGATTTAATGGATTAGTATGTATCTTACAGATTCAGATTTTTGTAATATGCTTTAAAAATTTAATAAGTCTCCTATTATTTTAAAAGAGAATATTTCATCTTAAGATTATTAATATGATGAAGAAGATGCTTCAATTACTAGATCTGAGAGAATATATGAGAATTTAATTAAGAAGAGTGGGTTCAAAATTATAGATGAATAATTTTAATAAGGATTACCAAATGATATTTATAAGATTAAGTTTTATCTTTTAAAACATCAAGAGTTATGATATATATTTGTCTAATGTCTTTTAATAAATTAGAGAATTGTGTTTAAGATTTAATATATAATTTATTTATTATATATTTCATGTCCAAAAAGGGCAAGAAAGGCAAAAAAGGAGAAGATAATGATGAATCCACTACACAAATTATGAGATTTTATAATAGAAAGATCTAAAGTTTAGGTGTGGCATAAAACAAAATTTTTGTTTAAGCAGTTGCATAAGCATTAGAAAATCAAGAACATTTAACTACTGTAATTAATAACACTTAAATTTAGCTTCATATAATTGAAGAAATTGGACCTAATGCTATTAGAGGTATTTTTGAGGCATTAATGGATCTAAAGTATATTAATAAAATTCAAAAATAGTTATAAACATTTGGCCAACATATGGTTAGTGAAAGCTGGTCTGGGATTAAACAATAATGAAGGTGTCAAATATTTGGCAAATTATATTTAAAAAGCATAAAATACTAAAGTATTGGATCTGACAGAAAATGAAATTACTCCATAAGGTTGCACTTATCTTGGTTATGCATTATCACCTGCTTTCAAAGTTCCCTTATAGGAACTCATTCTTGATTTTAATTATATTGGTTGTGAAGGAATGAAAGAATTAAGTAAAGGATTAGAAATGAATAGTAAAATCATATTATTTATAATTTTTTAGCAACAATTAGAAAACTTTCATTAAATTATTGTAGATTAGATTTAGAAAGTGTTAAATATATTTAAGATATTCTATCCTTTGTTGATTGTGATTTAAGATATTTATTTTTAGAGGGAAATTATTTAAGAAATTAAGGGTAATATTGATAAATTCAATTTAGTGTATATCAATTGTTTAGAGCTTTAGAAACTAATGAATGGTTAGAGGAATTAAATATAGCTAATAATCAATTTGGTGAATCTGAAGATGTTCCTCTGATTGAAAAAATATGTGAAGTATTAACTAAAAATAATTCAATTTAAGTCTATGATTTTAGAGGAAATGCCTTATATGATGATTGTAATTATAATTAATATATTAAATAGCTGCTAAGAAATTTTTGGATTGCATTAAAATGTACAAAACAGTTTGTAGACTTGAAGTTCCAATAGAAATTTAAAATGCCATACTAGAAGAAATTAAAAAAGTAACAAAAAAAAGAAAAAGAAGAAAGAATAAGAAAAAAAAATCTAAGAAAAAGAAAAAAGCTAAAAAATGATTATTACCATTATCAATCAAATTTTAATGCTATTATAATTAATATTTAATTGAAAAATATATTTTTTATATTCTCCTATTTTTTATTGTTATATGTACAAAAAATAGAATCTCAAAATTCTTTAAAAAAAATATTAAACAATATAAATAATAATTCAAATTAAATTATATCATTTTAATTTTAATACAAACATTCATCAAAAAAATAGTTTTAAAAATTCTTAATATGAAATCTTTCCATCTTTATTATGATCAGTTTCTTATAGAAATAATTACCAAACATCTTAATTTAATGTACCCATTACATCTTCTAATTCCTATTTTGTTATATATCCATCACCATCTAAATCAAATATGCGAAATGCTTATTCAATCTTTTTTTACGAAATGATTTTAGATTGATTAATTGATGCCATGATAAATTCTAAGGAATTATAGAATAATATACCACTATAATCAATTTATCCTGATAAATTTTTATCAATTTCTTCCAAAATTCTTTCAGCTTATTATTCAGCTTACTCTTAACTTTTAATAATTTTCTTATATCCTTCAATGAGTTCCTCTTTACTTATAACTCCATCTCTATTTATATCTAAAGATTAGAAAGTATTTTATAAGTCTTCAATTTCTTTATGATTCGTCATCTAAGATACTATATATTAAACAATAGCTGTTCTAAATTCACTGGTTGCTTAAAATTTAGATAAATTATCTAACACCTTTTTATTAATTGGCTAATTAATTGCATGTTTTTAGAACCAAGGATCACTCATAACTTATGATGCAGAATATCTAAGATTTACATCCACTTAAATCATCTTTTAAATTAAATGTTTAGCTTCTTTTGAAATTAGATCCCATTCCTCATCTAAAGTATTAATGGAAAATACTTGGAAATTTCAATCTACCTAATTTAACTTTTTCAAAGATTTCTTTTTCATTTTTACCTGTAAATGGAGGATATCCACATAAAAGAATATATAGAATTACTCCACATGACCAAATATCACATTTTTCTGTATAATTTTAACCTAAAACTTCTGGTGCGATATAATAAGGCTATTGATATAATAATAATTAAATATACAGTTCCCATTCTTTTAGTCATTTTTGATGTATTAAATCTACGAGAACATCCAAAATCAATTATTTTAAGATTTTGTTGAGGTTCAGGACCTGAAAAAAGAATATTCTCTGGTTTTAAATCTCTATGAACAATTTTTTATTCATGACAATAATTGATAGCAAGTAATATTTAAAGTATTAATTCACTTGCTCTTTTTTCTGTAAAAACTTACATTTTCTTTATTCTCTCAAATAGTTCTCCACCTGATAAATATTCAGTTATCATATAATAATTAGTTTAATCTTGATACAATTCATATAATTTAACAATATGAGGATGATCTAAGTTTTTTAATATATGCATCTCTTAAAATAACTTTTATTCATCCTCTTTTATTAATTCAGATTTTTTTATCTGTTTCATCGCTCTTATCAAACCTAATTTAAATTATATAATCTTACCAGTTGTTTTATGAGTGACTTTCCATACTTTTCCAAAGGCTCCCTATCCAAGTACTTATCCAAACGCATATACCTTATTTATAGAACCCTTCTTTAAGTTAATAAATAATTCAACACCCATTCTAATAGTTAAAGAACTCATAGATCCTATTGATTTTTTAGTTGGACTAGCACTTTAGTCTTAAATCTATCTATTTGTAGTGTAAATACGAGGTGAAGTAAATGTTGTATTATTATATTATTCTACACTTAAGGATTCTTTTCTTCTACAATTTTTCTTTTATGGAGAAAGAGATTGTTAAGGTAAATTAAAGGCAGAGTCTAGTTTAATAGGACTTAATTGTAATAGGTTAGTTTCTTTATGATTAGGGCTCAGAATTTCCTTATTATTGATATTTTGTAATTCACTATCAATTGATACTTTTCTTGTAAGCTCAATTTCATCATCTGGTGTATTTTCTTACACTTCTATTAACTCATTTCCAACTTCAATAGACTCCAATTTTAATAAATGAATCTATTATTTCATAGCTTCTAGTTTTGTTGGTATTGGTGATTCCTTTCCTAATGGGAGTGGTGCTACCATCTAATTAAACTCTTATTATGAAAAACTTTGTTTCTATAAAATTATTGCACTCGATCCTTATTCTAAACATAATTCTGCTATTGTTAACATAATCATTTTACCATATGATGAACTCTAGAATTTAGTATGACAACAAGTGGAACCCATTTTTCAATATGTAAGTAACTTATTAATTATTATTGTTTTATAACTATGTAAATGATATGTATCATTTAATCACTATTGATTAAAATCTTTTTGATTTAAGATCTTTATTAATTTATACTTGTATTAAGAATTATTTATTAATGTATATTTTAACAGTTGTTTTAATTACAATAATCATTCTTTGTATGAAGAAGAAAGATATTATTTTATTATTAAATAAAAGCATTCTTATTGAAATATTACATAAATAATCATTTTATTAAGCAATTATATTAGGAGTTGAATTTAAATTGATTAAATTTAATTTTAACAAATTTCCTTGTTAGTTTAATGATATATAGGGCTATATTCTAATGTGGAGTATTTGATAATTGAAATTTAATTTTATTGAATTATTTAACATTAATAATTTGTATTCCATTTATTAAATAATTATGTTGAGCATTTCAAAAAAAAAATAATACCCAAAAACATAGGATGAATTATCAGGAATGTTAATAACAAAGAATGCACCAATAAGAAATTATTCAACTTGTAAGACAATTAATAATATTAATGCAGCTACAAGAAATTCAAGGATTTCATATTAATCAAAATAATAATAATAATCTTAGAATTAGAGTGAAGATAAAGGAATCACTAGTAGAACTTTTTCTGTAAATGAGGTTACAGAATTACCTTAAATATCAAAACCAACTAACATAATTCTTAAAAGACCTAAGTTCATTCCTAGACCAAAATAATAATTAAGAAAGTTAATTCATGCATAAACTTCACCTACTAATCTTGAATCAGAAAGAAAGTAATAATAGTTAAATTA